CTAATGGTGACTATCTGTGTATGCAATCCATTGAGGTCCTTCATTTTGGACACCACCAAGAGATGTGCACGGGAGCTGTGGACCAATGTCTGTACGCAGCCCGTACACACATAACACTTCTGCTCACCTAATTCACACATGAGCATGTTTGAAAACAAACCCATATATCATCTTCCTTCTTTTAGCAGAATTATAGTGACTTTCATACGTATTTTTCAAATGCCACCGTAGCCCAGTTGAACTGGAAGACAGATCAGTATTCAAACTGTCAACAGAGAAGACTGATGTTGGTCATAAGTCCCTATTATCCGAAAGATTTGATGTGGGGTTGAGTTGGGATCCAGCTGTGATCAACACTACTTAACTGTGTCATCACCTGGTGGCTCAGCTCCACGTGATGGAATGGAGAGCAAATTATGCTGAAAAGTACCTCTAAATGTGGGTGCTAATTGTGATGCTACAGTGATAAACAAAGCTTCAGCTCTGGATGACACGTTATTAGATGTAATTAAGCAGAGCTCCGAGTCCAGCTGTACCGGTGCAGCGATGATGGTGTCAGAGCTTTGAACCCCACCTGCTGCAGGGTGCTAGGAACCAGGTTAGCTCCACAATACACCTCCTCATGTTACCTCCCACCCCGGCAAACCCACTTGATTAATGAGCTGCTGACATTTTATCAGATTATTGTGCATCACCGCTGCACAGGCACCTTAAAATTTCATATGCTGATTTCTCAGCCTCTCATTTTCCTACAACTCAGTGCTTCTGTGAGCAGGCTGTGCTGTATTACGGCTGCCTGACTCATAACATCACATGAAGATCTGAGCTTCTACTTCTTGAATATTTTTCACACTGTAATGAAATAAAAGTCTTTGAAATAAGCAAGAGACACACACGCACACTCTCGGGTGGCCAGAAATGGGGGTATGGGGTGGCCTTGGAGTTGTGGGAGAGCCCAGTCCTTGTCCCTGCTCTGCCTTATATGGAGCAGAATCCCAAACTCCAGGTGAGCATCCTTATTCCCACAATATATCACCGAGTACCTTAGCTCAAGTTTTAATGCAGGTTTCACTTCTTCCCTGGCTTCTCTGGACTGGACAGCAGTGCCCCTCAAGAGGCTATTATTACATATTGCTGTCTGTGGTACATGTAGCCAGTACAGCAGAAGGATGGTGACACTTCTTCCTCTACTGTTTAAATAAGCAAAGAATGAATTTGTGAATGTCCAAGTCCTAAAACAACTTTATTTTGTTCTTAGTTTGAAAATAAGTATCAAATATACTCATGAAGTCCAACAAAGCCAAGAAGTGCAAGGTCCTGTATGCGGGCTGGGGTAATCCCAACCCAAAAAAAAAAAAGTTGGGTGGAGAATGCATTGAGAGCAGTCCTGAGGAGAAGGATGTGGGTGTCTTGGTGGATGAGAAGCTCAACATGAGCTGGAGATGTGTGCTGGCAGCTCAGAAAGCCAACCGCATCCTGGGCTGCATCAAAAGAAGTGTGGCCAGCAGGTGGAGGGAGGTGATTCTGCCCCTCTGCTCTGGTGGGACCCCACCTGGAGAACTTGTCCAGCTCTGGAGTCCTCAGCACAGGAAGGACATGGACCTGTTGGAAAGGGTCCAGAGGAGGGCCCCAAAATGATTTGAGGGCTGGAGCATCTCTGCTATGAGGTCAGGCTGAGAGAGTTGGGGTTGTTCAGCCTGGAGAAAAGAAGGATCTAGCGGGTTGTTCAGCCTGGAGAAAAGAAGGATCTGGCGAGACCTTATAATGGCCTTCCAGCCCCTGAAGGGGGCTCCAGGAGAGATGGGGAAGGACTCTTTATCAGGGAGTGGAGTGATAGAAGGGCAGGCAATGGTTTTAAACTGACAGAGGAGATTTGGATTAGATCTTAGAAAGAAATTCTTTGCTGTGAGGGTGGTGAGACACTGGAACAGGTTGCCCGGAGAAGCTGTGGCTGCCCCATCCCTGGAGGGGTTCAAGGCCAGGCTGGATGGGGCTTGGAGCAACCTGGTCTGGTGGGAGGTGTCCCTGCCCAGGGCAGGGGGTTGGAACCAGATGATCTTGAAGGTCCCTTCCAACCTAAACCATTCCATGGTTCTATGAATATAACCGTTACGACATTAATGAATGAAAGTGAATTTTCTCTGTCTAACTCTCTACTTAGGAACTCCATTAACTGGAGCCTTGTTTCATCAGATAGTGTTTCTAGGGCTAAAGCACGCTGGATGCCTGGACGCGTTTCTGTTTTCAGTGAGAACCTCTGTTAACACGACACAATCCCTTTAAAATGCAGACATGCACTTGGCAAATTTTATAAGCCCCAAGATGAATTTAGATGCACAGAGATGGTGAAGCAGTCTAATCCTTTCCACAGAAGATAATGTTTAAACAAATTTATCTCATTCTATGGAACACCTGGGCAAGCTTATTTAATATAGTCTTTGCATTTAATTATCTCCGCTGAAGGGGCACTTGCCATATTTCAAAATATGATTATTTTCTTTCGTATTAATTATATTAAGATCCTCAAAGGAAACCTGGAGAGAAATAAAAAAAAAAGGGGGGGGCTCTTAATTAACCTAAGCCACCAGAAGTCATCTTTTGGAATAGAGAAGCTGGAATACAGAACTGAAAATAAATAGTACTTAAAAATCAAACTCTCTATGTGAATAATGAAGAATAGCTGTTAAAACCTGCAAAGAATTCTGTATGAATGAATTGTTGCTAGGCATTAGTAACAGAAAGGCACACTTACACATTAAACTGGAAAAAAAGACAAAAATAGAAAAATGATTCTGTGGAGAACTCTAATTCTCTGGTCAAAACTATTGGCAGAAGTCGAGGAAGTGTAAAATTATGATATACCCAGAGAACAATATAGCCCAGAGTCAGCATCTCAGTTCTTTTCTTCTCTCCTTTTGCTCTTGTGGGGTTGGCATAAACAACGCTGTTCCTTTTGGGAAGAATTTATTCCCCACTATATTTCTGGCAAGCGATTTTACCAAGTGTGCTCTCACTGCACAAACCAATTACCCTCGTACTTACAAGAGTGAATGCTCTATGTGAAAACAGGAGACCCTGTTCTCCCCACCACACTGGAAGGGCAATATGAAGGGGGTTTGGATGGGTTTTTTTCTAGATAGTCACCATAGTCTGTAAATTTGCTTATGCTGGAGTAATTAGATAGCTGCTTTTTTTTGCAGCATCGGTACTACATGATATTTGCAACGTGGGTTTGCACAGGATGAATGTAATTGTATCTATGTGTCGCCTAAAAGTTGCTTTGGTTGCCTAGGTACAAGCAAGAGGGGAGCTGTGTCTGTTTTAGGCAACTAGTTAGTATTGCACTTCCAGGCTTCTGTTGTTTAATGGTTTAACACATTATTTTGCTCCTTGAAAGGCTAAATACAGTGTCACAAAGATCACATCACATGTGCCTTAATCTTTGCAAGAAGCCAGACAGCACCTCATAGGACCGGTAACAGATTTTTGTTGCATTTCACTCCCTCTAAGAACTGTATGTTCCACACTCTGTAGGTGTGAAAAGGGATCAAAGCCACTTTTCCAATGCAAGTACATTTGCCTTTTATTCTATCAAGCAATTACACAAATTTCAATTTCCAGTCAAAGTGAATTCAGTTATCAGCCCATACTGCTGCTTCATCTAGGCAACAAATTAAGCGGGTTTATGCCACTGCAAAACTAATTCCAGGTCAGATCTCACTGTTGAAGACAGATTTGTTTTATCCTTGGTTTTCCAAAAGGCATGACATTTCTTTTGCTTTTCTGTTGATGCTTTGGGTAGGTGTTTGTGCTACCCTTTGATCACTATTGGTCAATCAAACTCATTAACGAACTTCCCTTGGGCTCAGTCTTGGCATTGAAAGTGTGTGTCTTCTCTGGGGAACATTTCAAATCAAAGAATGGTTTGGGTTGGAAGGGACCTTCAAGATCATCCAGTTCCACCCCCCTGCCCTGGGCAGGGACAACTCCCACCAGACCAGGTTGCTCCAAGCCCCATCCAGCTTGGCCTTGAACCCCTCCAGGGATGGGGCAGCCACAGCTTCTCTGGGCAACCTGTTCCAGTGTCTCACCACCCTCACAGCAAATAAGTTCTTCCAAGTATCTAGTCTAAATTTCTCCTCTTTCAGTTTAAAACCATTCCCCCTTGTCCTGTGGCTCCACTCCCTCATCAAGAGTCCTCCTCCCCATCTCTCCTGGAGCCCCCCTCAGGTACTGGAAGATGCGCTTGTGAAAGATGGGAAATAATGGTGGGTGGGGGAGATATTTTCTGTTTGTCTATGTTTGTGTTCTTGCAACTGAATATACTTTCACAACTGAGCTGAAACATTGCTATTTCTTTTGTCACAGAACGGTATTTAAGCCATTCCCTGCGCTGGATGAGGCGGCAGTGTGACACTCACACCCTTCCCACTTTCCCACCTGCCAAGCGGCAACGAGGCCTGCACCTCAGCCCTCTCCCTCAAATCGCCCTCAGATATTGCGTGGCGACATTCACATCTTGTGGTGGCTTTAAAGACGAAGGTGAACTGAGATTCCAGAGTGTCACAAAGAGGGAAGGAGGCCGCTCAGTTGGATGGTGAGAGCGGCGCCATCTTGGAAATGGGTGGAAGGGGCAGCAGACGCCATGGCCGACTGTCGGCCTCCCTGCCAGGCGGGCTCCTTGGCCTGACAACTCATCAGCCCTCCTGTATCACCACCCGCGGGTGGGCTCGGGGGCAGGGACCCCCCATGGCCCGGTTTACCGACCCCCGCGGGTGCCCCCCCGGCCGCCTGAGGGGAGGCAGCCGCGACCCCCGGGTGGGGGCTTCCACCCGCCCTGACAGGCGGCGGGGGGGTGTGTGTGGGGAGGCCGGCGCTGAGCGGGGCTGAGGAGGAGGAGGAGTGGAAAAGAAGGGAGAGGGGACAGGCGAGGGTGGGCGTGCAGGAGCCGGGGGGTGAAAGGGGAGAGGAGGCGGCGGCCGGGAGCGGAGCGAGCTGCCGGGGCCATGGCGCGGCGGGACGGCGGTGGCCGGGCTTTGCCCCGCCTGTGGCTGTGGCTGGCGCTGTGGGGGCTGTGGGGCGGCGGCGGCGCCGGAGGGGCCGGCCCCCTGCCCTTCGCCGCGGGGCCGCCGGCCGCCTGCAGCCCCCGCTGCCAGCACGGCGGGCTCTGCCTCGCCAACGGCACCTGCCTCTGTTCCAAGGGCTACGAGGGCGAGCGCTGCCAGCACGGTAATGGCCCGGCCTCGCACCGCGGGGAGGTGGGGTGGGCCGGCGGGCGGTGCCGGTGGGGGAGCCCGCCCGCGGCTGTGGGGATGTCCCCGGTGGTCCCTGGGGACATGTCGTGGCTGTGTGTGAGGCCGGGGAGGTGCCGGCCTTCCTGCAAGACATCCTGAGGATCTCGGATGAGGGTACGGCGTGAGGAGATGCTGGGGAGGACACAGGTGAGGTGGGGTGGAAGAAGGGTGGTTTTTGGTGAGGTGAGGCCATGGCAGCAAACTGATAGAGCACAACCAAGAGCCAGCTCCTCCATGAGGACACTCAGGTCGGTGAGTAGACCCAGCCGATGGAAGCAGCCACAGGGTCAGCAGGTTGTATTTTACCATTTGGAGATTGGGTAAAGGTCCACTAATGGATAGGCTTCTGCATTGTCTTCCTTTTATCATTTTCTCTGAGTGTTTAAATACTTGCCTGAGTAAGAAAAGGTGCTTTTAGAGGCTTGACAGCTCTCAGAACCTGACCCACAGGATCATTCCTACATCCCATTTCCATGGCAGGAGGATAAAGCTGGGCTGAACTCAAGTGTGTTCCTCTTGGTTTTCCAGGGGAGACAAAGTATTTTCACTGACTTTCACTGAATTTTTAGAGTTGGAAGGGACCATAGAGATCATCTAGTCCAACTCCCCTGCTAAAGCAGGATTGCCTAGAGCTTGTCAGAGCATGTTACTCAGGACTGCATCCAGGCAGGTCTTGAAAATCTCCAAAGAAGGGGACTCCACAACCTCCCTGGGCAGCCTGTTTGAAAATGTGCCCAATATGGAAAAGTAAACACGGGCAAGAAGAGTTTTGGTTTAAACCCTGTTCAATGCAACATGCCCAGTTCCTAATTCCTTTCTTCAAATGTTTAATTACAGAGCATTTGGGCTAATTGCTAAAACCCAATCTCTATCAGAAGGTCTTTTGCCTTAACATCTTGGCCTGTGTGAAGAGGTGGTATAATTTGTACAGTATTTGTTTTAGTTCTCAATTTCCTTCAGCTAAAATGTGATTTATTTATTTTTTTTAAACTCTAAAATGGAATGCTGAGACTTCTGTTTAGCACCGCAATCATTCATGGAGCGTTGTTTTATTTAGAAGCTAGGGCTAGCAGGTGGTGACAAATGATGTATAGCTAATGTGCTGTATATTGGGGATGAATAACTCTGCAGTTTGCACTGTTCCAAACAACTGTTGGATCCTAGACATTTTTTTTGTTTAGAGAAGGTATGAAAGATGGTCAGAGATGCAGATCCATTTCTGAACTAATCTGGTATTGTTCAGGGAGCCACTGAATGCTCGCTTTGATAAGGTCATCGATGCAGAAAAAATCTGGACAAATGAAGTTTCGTCTCTTGTTCTGTCAAGAAAACTCACGGAAAACAAAACTCTCACCAAAAACACAGAAATGAAGGGTGGGACATGTCTATCTGTCCAACTGCGAGGGGACAGGGAGTGTTTATCAGTTTTGTACTCTGCTTTTTATTCAAAGTGTCATGTTGTTGAAATAGTGGGGTAAAAAGAGTATTTGTGATACCTGTAGCTGTTTCTGGCTGTTGAGATGACTCAGGGGGGAAGGAGGGAAATCTGTCATTAACAAAAGTTGAAGTGAATTTCATTACAGTTGAAGGCAGTTTGGAAAAAGTTATATTTGCTCTTGTTTTAAGTAGGTGATCTTCAAACTTCTTTGAATTTGTGGCTAGAAGCTAAATGGATCTAATTACATACACAGATGCTGTGTTCAGGCTAGGTTTTGGAATTACCCTAGCTGGTGGGATTGCAAAACATGGATATAACAGAGTGAAAAAGTTGGGCAAAACTTTTTGTGGGACTGCTCCTCTGTAGTTGGGTGGGTTGCTTAGAAAGACTCTTAAATAAAAGAAAAAAAGAAAGAAAATACAGTGCTTATTCTTAAAAGTCTGGGAGGAGTTGCAGGTGTTTTGGCAAAGGGTAAAACAAGCGTAAGGAAAAGAAATAGTTTGGAGGCGGTGGATTTCAGAAGAATATTTGATTCTGTCACACAGCCCCTGCCTATATATTGAAATCCCTGCTTTATAAAAGGTCTGTGCCTGATGGAGAGTCTTTCTTCAGTTCTCTCCTATAAGTACATGTTTTGCATGGGAAAATACCCAGCAGTCCAAATAGTAAAAGTTAGCAGATGAGAACAGTGGAATTGGATCGCAGTACTGCATAATGCATGCAGCTTACCTTTTGGGATCTCATGCTATGCTCTTCTTTTGTTTTTTGTGGTTTTTTTCCTGTCTTACACCTGTGCTTCCCACTTGTGACACTTTCTTTGTGCAAGTGGTATGGAATTTAAGCGTTAGATCCTCACGGCAGGGCTGCTCTCCTACTCTGTGTATGGAACTTCACAGCAACATTCAGATACCACTGCCATTCTAGTATTTTTTTGGTTTAAATAAGTAAAGTAAACTTTATAAAACTGTGTGAAATAACACAGAAATAGAGTTTTTCTAAAATTGAGAGCTCTTGCATGGACTTCCCTATGAATTGAAAGCATCTGGTAGAACAGTTTCGCAGAGCTGAGTGCTGAATGGTCCTTTCATTGGTGTTTGTGTGCAAATATTCATTCTGCAGATACTAATGTGGAAAATCCTCCAATCTTCAGCTGGGTTGCTTGAGGGTGCAGTAAGTGTATGAGGGCAAAATCAGCGTGGTGTTATTCTCTGCTGTCTTTTCCCTTTCCTCCTCTGGTTCAGACTTCTCACCCAGAGCCAAAGGATAAAGCGATGGGATGTGGAGAACTTGTCTCACACCTGCAGTTAATTCAGACGAGACTCTCTGGAACACGTGGGTTTCTAAAAATCTATGTGTGAATAAACAAATGTCTTCTCCGACAGCAGGGCTGATTCAGGAATGATTTATGAGTAGCAAGGAGAACTGTGTGATAAGTAATTTATTTTCAATCTTGACTGGATTTACCCAAAATTTTGCACAATGAAGATTTTTATTTGTGCCTCATCCAACTTGTCCAAGCTGCCAGCAATGAAAAAGTTGCAGAATCTGTGATCATCATAGATGCTCTTCTCCCAACAGATAACTATAGTTATGACAAAAGTTAGATTTAGCACAGGTGATTTCTAAACAAACACTGTACATTTCAGAAAGGTCTCTGAGAGGCCCCCTGAGGCAAATTAAAATAGAGAGTGGAGGAGAAGGAAGTGCTGACTTATTTCTGGAGACATCTTAGAGAATAGGCAGGATTAAATGAGCACATAGTTTTTCTGGAGAGATATGTAGGAATCCAGTGAAGAGTTAAGCCTGATATTACATCTTAAGAATCAGAAGGTGCCACTGAAGCTGTAGCAATTTTTATTATATCATTTCTTTTTATCACCTCTTTTCTCACCTGTCATTTCTTGGCTTCAATTATCAAAAGCTGCTTTGGCAGTCCAGCTGTGTTCCTTTGTTCCTTTTCAGTGTGGCTCTCTCTTCTGTCTAGGGTCCAAAAGCTGCCTTATTTTAAAAGCTTTTCAACACTCAAAACTGGTGGAGTGTCCTCTGGGGAGGGGAAGGGTTTCAGCTGATGGGTGGCGTGGGATGGCAGGGCAAATATATCTTAGGAAACGTGAAGACAAATGGAGTGCTCAGAGACTAAAATAATGTAGATTTCTTAGATGCTTCAGTAGCAATTTTGGTGAGCTTCACCTGTATTTATCCAAGATTTGTTTGTTGTTTGTCTTACAGCCACAGTAGCAATTTTGGTGAGCTTCACCTGTATTTATCCAAGATTTTTTTGTTTGTCTTACAGCCACGTGTTATCCAAAATGCAAAAATGGTGGGGAGTGCCTCAGGCCTGGAAAGTGCAGATGTCCACCTGGCTATGGGGGTAGATACTGCCATAAAGGTGAGTAAGACCCAAACAAGTGATAGCTTGGAAGGACAAGAAGTGTGAAAACATACAAATTTAATCTAGTCCTCAAGTCCAGGACTAATGGACTTTGAAATAATGATTTTAATTACTTAGAGCTCTGACCTTACTGTCAAAAAATACATGGCCTAGAGGATCTGCATCCTTGCAGGAGAAGGGGCTGGAGTGTATGTACTGGAATGTGTTGTGAGAGGATTTTGTCCCTTGGAAAATACCTTCTATATGTGTTATGTAAATATTCTGTTTAGCTCTAGAAGAAATTCTTTCTAAATAGTTCAATGAGGTGACTTGTACAGATATACGTTTCTGCATTAGAGGGTTGAAACTTTTGTGTAGCATCTGCAAGATGGTACTATTGAGGGCAAGTCACTAAAGATACACCTGGCAATGTGTTGTTGATAGGTAACGGGAGATGACAGAGATGAGGAACAGCAAAGATCAATTTTTATGGTTTTGTGAAGCCTATTGAATATACTCATGGATTGGAAAAGGCAATCCAAGAAAAACTTGTTGTGAACTGATTAGACTACTGATGGTAACTTGAGTTCTGGGATAAAAGGGGAAGCAAATTTGAAATAGCTCGAGGGGAAAATTGTAGGCAAGGTATCCCCAGACAGTGAAGGAAAAAAAAGCGTTGTTTTACTTTCAGAAGAGGAGCCTCAAACTGACACTTAAAAATTTCTAGAAGTTCTTTTTGAAGCTTCAGGGCTTTGATGTGTAGAACAATTCTGGAATGAGGAGGCTGACTTAGTTGTTTTTGGGGAAGGCACCACTTGACCATGGTCACAGGGTTCGTTTGTGTTAGTTGTTTTTGGGGAAGGCACCACTTGACTATGGTCATGGGGTTCATTTGTCAAAATAACATCCCCTTCTCTTCTTCCTCTTGGAATGTGTAGGTCCTGTCAGGTAAGGAGATCCGTGAATCTGTGACCACAACCACTGATTTACCAGCTGTGATCTGGCGAGATGGATAAGAATGTGCACGTTAGTGGTTACTGTGGTGTGGCTGATGAGCAGCTGGGGTGGGAGGAGCTGTGCCGTAGCCATAATCGTGTTTGTTTGTTGGTGCTCTCAGGCTAAATGCTCGACAAGATTTTAAGCACATGCTTAATTTTAACTGCATTTTGAGCTGGTGTTTGCAGGCGTGGTGCTGTCGTACACGCTCGCTCCTTATGGGGCTGTGCCTTGCTCTGAATAGTTGCAATTTTTAGCCTTTGCAGATGTGATAAAACAAGGGGTTGATGATGGACCAGCTGTTTAGAGATAATTAGTCAGAGTCCTGTGTTGCTTCTGAAATGCACTGTGTATGCTGTTCTTCTGCAGTAAGCTGTGAGGGAGGCTGTCAGAACGGGGGGGAATGCATCTCTGTCAATGGAGTTGTGAAATGCCTTTGTGCTTCTGGCTGGACAGGATCAAGATGCCAAGAAGGTGGGTATCTAAACTCCTGTGCTTTTTTTTTTTGTACCACGGGTGACCTAATTGCTAACAGTCCCTAAGGCCTGTAAAAAAAGTCCTGATGAGAGGGCACTGGAAATAAAAATAATTTCCTAGATTTATCCTTGGAGTAGTCTCAGTTTTTTATCACTGCATTCTCGAGAATAGAATTCTTACTTATTTAATCTGTACAAAAAGCAATATAAAACCCACAAACCAAGTTAAACCCTGTCTTTCTCCTAGGAGAAAAGTTTGAAGGAACCATTCTCTCAGTTAAAATGCCTGTATTACTTTACTATTAAATAAGGATAACAAGCTGACGTTATCATGACATGAGTCGTTCACAGTACCTTGTGTGTTTACATAATGAAAATATTTATATTGATTAAAAATATAGCTGCAGTAACAAAAACATTTTAAAAGGATGAAGAGGCTAACTATGGAAATGGCATTGCATTGCTATAGAAATGAAGGACCTGTGTTATTGCTGCATACTCAGATAAAATAGTGTCAATTTAGCATTAAAGTGTACGTCTATTAACATTTAATCCAAAATTCTTAACACAGTGTGTATGTATTTTTTTTTCCATTTCCACGGTCCTGGAAATGCCTTTAGACTTCCACCAGTTGAGTCTCTGGCCTGGAAGAAAATGCATTTTGCCATTTTGATTTGTATCATCCTGAATCCTTCACTCTGTCAGAATTCTTTTAGCTCAGTTTTATAAATCCTGCTGACTTACCCTTTCTTTTCTTCTAGCAATTTGTCCTCAAGGTTGTCGGAATAATGGAGCTTGTGTGGCTCCTGGGATTTGTAGCTGTCCGGCGGGATGGGTCGGCGGAGCGTGTCACTTAGGTAAAGGACTCCTGACACTTTGCCTTTATCCTTTTCTCTACTTGTTTGATTTACCAACGCAGTCTTCACATCTTCAGTGCCTAACAAAGCTGGTAGGAAGATATCTCAGAATTGTAAATTAGAGCTGCTTCTGCATGCTGGGGATCTTACAAGGATGCATAAAGAATAGAGAGCGCTTTAATTTGGTCAGAAAGACAGAACTTCTCCACCTTAAGTAAATCCAACCACTTGCATTTCCCCAGATTTTGATTCACAAAAGCAGGTGATGATTATAAAAACTTGAACCTACCCTGGCAGGGCCTTGTGGGCTCGTAACAGCAGCACCCTCGTGCTGAAGGCAAGGATCCTGAGATTGTCAAAAGGAAAGGATTTTTGTTTGCTCTCTGGGAAACTGAGAGAAAGCTCATCTAAACGTTGCTTTTGAATTCAGTATCGTAGCTGCAAAGTCTCTGGATTAATTCCTCTGCATTTGAACTTTTTATGTGGCTGTAGGAATCTAAATCAGCCAGCACTAGTTCTTCTGCAATATATATAGTCAAAGAAACATTTATAAATAGTACTTTACCGTTCCCATTTGAGCAGCAAAATGCTTATCCGTTGTATTCATTGGTGTATCGAGGTAGAGGGTGGTATTGAAAGGTAAGTATGGGAGATGCAAAGAACTTACACAATTTCACTGAATTTCACTGAATTTTTAGAGTTGGAAGGGACCATAGAGATCATCTAGTCCAACTCCCCTGCTGAAGCAGGATTGCCTGGAGCTTGTCAGAGCATGTTACTCAGGAGCATTCAGGCGGGTCTTGAAAATCTCCAAAGAAGGGGACTCCACAACCTCCCTGGGCAGCCTGTTCCAGGGCTCTGGCACCCTGTATAGCTCCATTCCCTGCACCAACAAGAAGTAATAGAAGAGTTCGAGTTCTTAATGTCAAAATAATCACTGTTCCTGAACTAACTAGATCTGCATCCTGTTTGACTTGTGTTGGTACAGAAGGATTTGCTTATAAGCAAATTCCAGCCCCTGGCTCGTTACCCAAACTGGTGTGTAGCCAGGGAACAACTGAAGCTGTGCCCTCTCAGTCCTCTGCTGCCCTTCTTTGGGGGGGAACAGAAGGGCAGCCTGTGAGCAACAGCCAGTATTTGGCAACTGTTTCCTTGTGGATGCAGATCCAAGAACTGGCTTGAATAAATTTCAGTGGGAATTTTTATTGTTCCCTCACTTTTGGGGCGGCATCCATCTCAAAAATAGCCCGTGCCTTGAAGAACAATAGAAATGCTGGTGTTTTAAAAGGAGAACGGAGCATGAGTAAGAGTAGACACACTGTGGCTGTTTCCCAGTGAAGGCCACGATGCCATAAATTGAGAGGCATTGCTTTTCACTTCTGCCATTATGCTTTTATTTATACTGTCCCGGTGCGATCACGGGGGAACAATTCAGCTGGCACGGGGAGACAGAGAAGAAAAATGAGGCTGCGTTGTGCTGGAGACTGTACCCTGTGTCTGGTGTCTCGTTTCAGCTCTCTGTGAGCTCCCTTGTCAGCACGGGGGGAAATGCATCGCTCCCAACGTCTGCAGGTGTCGGCTGCCCTACTCGGGTCTGCAGTGCACAAAGAAAAGGAAGGAATGAAGAAAATTCAGTAAAATTCAACTGCGTCTTCTTCGTGGAACTCTTTGTGCAGAGGTGGAGTCAGCAGCAGTGGGGGACCTTAAAAGAACACTTGGTAACTAATTAATTTCAGATAGGTGGTTTTTTTATTTTTTTTTGTTTGTTTGTTTTCAGTATATTAAGTAAAGGCTTTTCTGTATGAAGGAAAAGTACAGCTGATTGTAACACAGCTGTTACAAGTGTCCAAGTGTGTGTAGTGTATGGCACGTGGCTTCTTCTGTCCTCATTTTTCTTCTAAGCAGAAGTATCATGTCTTGGTTGATGCAGCTGACCTTGAAATAAAATTTGCTCTTCAAATAAAGTACTTCAGAATAGGCCTGTTCTCTTCTTTTTGATTTTTTTTTCCCCCCTTTGACTAGAATTATTGCATTATATTAACGACGTGTTGTTAAAAAAAGAAAACGTCCCTAATTCCGATCACCAGAAGTGGATGTTGCTTGAAGAATAATTTTCCTTCAACGAGATTATGCAGTTTCAAGAGGAAACTTGCAGAGTTTGCATCTTTCTGGAACATCAGCAAAGTGCAAAGCATTGTATTAAAATCCTGGTTATCGCTTTGTGTGCTTCCTGCTCCTCAGATTTGGATCTCCATCAGCTAAGCAGTATTAAAAAAAAACAAAACAAGAGTACGTGTTCAGACAGTTCCGTGCTGATACCCTAAAAGAGTCCTTATCTTGTCTACTTCTACCATCACGTTATCTGATCATCTCTCAACTTCCACTTGTTTCTTTCCCTGATCCCGGTAAGATGGGGAAATGGGTTTTATCTCCCTTCTGAAGATGTAGACGTGGATGATTCATTCCTGTTGGAGGCTGTGTCGTTACAGGAGCAGTGTCTGGGAGGCTGCAGCCCGGCAGCGAGGAAGAGCCATGCCCATCCCAAATCCCTGGTGTGGAGGACGCTGGGGTTGTCTCCTGGAGATGTTCCAGTTGGGCCTCACTGAGCTTTTGCAGCCTTTGGAACGGGCTGAGCGTTGGACCGAGACTCCTGCGTTCGTCGTTCTGCATCTCATCTGTGCTGTCTCTTGAACAGTTGGAGAAGGTTTGGAAGGGTTTGGAAGGCCAAAACACACAGGTTGAATCAATCAACTCTCTGAATAATGCCCAAATCAATTTTTTTTTTTAGAGATAGATTGATTTTCATTGTTTTCTAGGTGACACTGGAATTTCTGGTGAAAGAACTTTAACTATGCATTAGAGTAACCCATTTGCCTGTGCAGGGCTTTTATCCATTTGATGGAATAATGCCTACGAGCTCCCTTACCAGAACGTGTTGCTTCCACAGGTGGAGTGATTTATACAACCATGTTTCTCCAGGGGTTACAAGCCACTGGGCATTGACCAGAAGCAAAGGAAACAGGGTCTTCTTGGTTACACACCTTCTCTAAATGAGAAAAGCTGAGCGTATGGAGGGCAAATGAAAGACAATGGTTTAGTTCCTGAGAGACCTCTCTTCCTGTTAGGAGCTATGAATTGGTGTGTTGTGTAGTTGAGAAGCTTCTTCTGCCCTTGCTTTGGAGGCTGTTGTGTTTGGTTCTGATGAAACCTGCTACGGACACACATTGTGCAGGTTTTGTTGCCAGGGCAGGGCACACAATAAGATGAGAATATGGGTTTTGTGCTGCTTTTGTGGTGATAGACTGGATGTTTTTGATGCTCCGAGGGCTGGAGCCCCTCTCCTCTGAGGACAGGCTGGGAGAGTTGGGGTTGTACAGCCTGGAGAAGAGAAGGCTCTGGGGAGACTTTAGAGCCCCTTCCAGTACCTGAAGGAGGCTCCAGGAGAGATGGGGAGGGACTCTGGATCAGGGAGGGAGCCATAGGATGAGGAGGAAGGGTTTGACACTGAAAGAGGAGAGATTTAAATGAGATCTCAGGAAGAAGTTCTTTGGTATGAGGGTGGTGAGAGCCTGGCCCAGGTTGCCCAGAGAAGCTGTGGCTGCCCCATCCCTGGAGGGGTTCAAGGCCAGGCTGGATGGGGCTTGGAGCAACCTGGTCTGGTGGGAGGTGTCCCTGCCCAGGGCAGGGGGTTAAAACTTGATGATCTTGAAGGTCCCTTCCAACCCAAACCATTCTATGATTTCAGACATGCTGGTGAAAAATACAGTTTCATCAACGGGTTCAGAGAAGGCTTTATGATGATGAAATTCTGTGTTACGGTTCACAACAATAATGATGCCATAATTTAGAATTTCAGGAGTTAAGTTGGGTACCTCAGATGACATCCTGCTTACAGGGATGTGAACAGAAAAAAATTAATTGCCTCAGACTCAAGATTTCAGAGTGAATGAGCAGAAGGATGTGAATGCAGAGAGGCAGAATCTCTCAGTATTGCTCCTGAAAAGAGTGACTTCTACTAATAAAGCCAAAAGTGACAATAATGGTGATGATAAGCCAAAAGAGATAGATATTGGCATCATTAGGAGCACGGGACCAGGAGCAGTCGGTGAGTGAGACCTGTAATTGGTGCTTCTGAGCAGGGCAGAACAAATGGCAATTGAAATAATTCTCTGTTTAGAAAGGAGTGAAGAAAGTCGGGGAACTGGATGCCGGGGGAAGGTGATGGTCTATTTCAGAAATACTGCTTGAACGTAGCACCATCTACTGGCTACAGGGCTTTTCCTTGGCGTTTTTTGGTTTTGGTCTTGTTTTAAAGCAAAACCATTTAAATCTCTGCAATATTTCAAGGGAGTTTAAAAGTTAATTTGCTGGTATTTATTTTAAATTAGAACGTAAAGTAGAATGTATGGATGCAGCTGAGGGTTAGGAAAAACGACACAAAACAGGTTCCCTCCCTTATTTACTAGAGCTAACTGTAACAGCTTAGACACACACTCTGATTTTTACTAAAAACAACTGGAAAAGGTGTAGGGGTAGTGCACTGGTGGTGTTTTTTGATATTCTGTCTGTTTAAAATGTGTGTGAAAAGGTGAGAAGTGTTTCTTCTTTTTGAGTTACTGACATGCACATTTTACCATTTATATTTTCTCTGCTGCAAGTGGTTGTAGCAAGAGTGGAGTCACTTGGTTTGTCTGTAAAATCACAGAGTGATATGGGGTTGGAAGGGACCTCTGGAGATCATCCAGTCCAACCCCTGCCAGAGCAGGTCCACCTAGAGCAGGTCCCACAGGAACGTGTCCGGGGGGGTTTGAATGTCTCCAGAGAAGGAGACTCCACCACCTCTCTGGGCAGCCTCTGCCAGGGCTCTGCCACCCTCAAAGGAGAGAAGTTCCTCCTCATGTTGAGATGGAGCTTCCCATGTTCCAGTTTGTGCCCGTTCCCTCTTGTCCTGTCCCTGGGCACCACTGAGAAAAGCCTGGCCCCATCCTCCTGACACCTTCCCTTTAAGTATTTATAGGCGTTGATCAGA